GGTAAATAGACTTTTAATGAAAGAATTATGTAAGTTCAGGTATTTTTGTGAAAAAATTTAAAGTTTAGATTTCACTTTGAAATTACAGTTAAAGTTGAAGTACCATTACTGAAATTTACCCTACACATATTGCGCGTTCAAACGTCAAAACCCCGAAACTACGGAGTATTTCATAAAAACCTAATGCTATGAAAAATTGAGGGTAAATTTCAAAAATGGTACCTCAACTTTCACGAAAATTTCGATTCGGTACCTAAACTTCAAAACTTTTCAAAAAAATCTCTGAACTTTTAAAAATCTTTCACGAATGGTACCTGAAGCCAGTTTTCAAGTAACCAGCAGGTCATTTGGGCCAAATTTTAATTTTTTGTATTTTATAATTTTTAAATTGACCCCGTTTCTTTTTCTTCTTTTCCCTCCCCCACCCTTTCTTTGTCTTCTTCTTCTTTCACCCCTTTTCTTCTTCTTCTTTCACCCCTTTTATTCTTCTTCTTCAAAGCTCCCCTCACCCCACTCCACTCACAAAATTGCTGACAGGTACCCTCGGTTTTCTGATAAGAACTAACAGGTCCCATCTTTTTTAAAAATATACTCTGAGGTACCTTTAATTATCTGAAAACTAATTCCGAGGAGACTTTCCGTCTATCCCTCCGTCAAATTCATTATCTCCGTTAACTTTTCATCTTCTTCTTCCTAAAAATTGTTGTCAGGTACCCTCAATTTTGTAGAAATAACTTTCATGTCCCATCATTTCTAAAAATATATTCCGGATACCCTAAAATATCCAAAAACTTGCTTTGGAAGAATTTTCTTTTATTATTATTATTATTATTATTATTATTATCATTATTATTATTATTATTCTTATTCTTATTCTGAGATTATTATTATTATTATTGTGATTGTTATTATTATTATTACTATTACTAATGTTACTTTTATTACAGAGTATTATTATTATTATTAGTCACTTCATCATTATCTTCTGCAGCCGTAACTCGCTGCCGCATTGTCTATTGTGTTGCATTGGATTTTCGCTAGACGCACTAGACCAATAATAATAATAATAATAATAATAATAATAATAATAATAATCGTGATAGTAATAGTAATAGTAATAATAATCGCAATAATAATAATACTCCGTAATAATAATAGGAAAAAAAAGGAAAACCCCCCATAGTAACTTTTTGGATATTTTAGGGTACCCCGGAGTATATTTTAAAAATGATGGGACCTGAAAGTTACTTTTATAAAATTGGGGTACCTAACAGCAATTTTTAGAAAGAAAATGATGAAAATTAACGGAGAAAATGAATTTTACGGAGGGAAGGACGGAAAGTCTCCCCGGAGTTAGTTTTCGGATAATTAAAGGTACCCCGAAGTATATTTTTTTAAAAGATGGGACCTGTAAGTTCTTATAACAAAATCGAGGGTACCCGACAGCAATTTCCTGCTTCGCATAATGTAGTGGGAGGGGAAAGAAGAATAAGAAAGTGGGTGAAAAAAGAAGAAGAAGAAGAAGAAAGGAGTGGGAGAGGGAAGAAGAAGAAAAAAAGAAGGGAGAGAGTGGGGGGCTGGCGGGGTGGGACTGGGAGTGGGGTGGGGTGAGGAAGAAGAAGAAGAAAGGGGGTGAAAGAAGAAGAAAAAGAAGGAAGTGGGAGGGGAAGTAGAAGAAAAAAAAGAAATGGAGTCAAATTTAAAATTTTAAAATATGTAAAATTCTAATTTAGCCCAAATAATCGAAAGTTAACCTGGAAACCGGTAAATAGACTTTTAATGAAAGAATTATGTAAGTTCAGGTATTTTTGTGAAAAAATTTAAAGTTTAGATATCACTTTGAAATTGCAATTAAAGTTGAAGTACCATTACTGAAATTTACCCTACACATATTGCGCGTTCAAACGTCAAAACCCCGAAACTACGGAGTATTTCATAAAAACCTAATGCTATGAAAAATTGAGGGTAAATTTCAAAAATGGTACCTCAACTTTCACGAAAATTTCGATTCGGTACCTAAACTTCAAAACTTTTCAAAAAAATCTCTGAACTTTTAAAAATCTTTCACGAATGGTACCTGAAGCCAGTTTTCAAGTAACCAGCAGGTCATTTGGGCCAAATTTTAATTTTTTGTATTTTATAATTTTTAAATTGACCCCGTTTTTTTTCTTCTTTTCCCTCCCCCACCCCTTCTTTGTCTTCTTCTTC